GTGTGTGTGTGTGTGTGTGTGTGTGTGTGTGTGTGTGTGTGTGTTATGGACTGAATCTGACTCCCCCCCGGCCCCACCCCAGTTCATATACTGAAGCCCTAACCTCCAATGTGATGATTTTAGGAGGTGGGGCCTTTGTGAAACGATTAAGTTTAGATGGGGTCATGAGGATGGGGGCTGTATCATGGGAATTGTATCCTTATAAGAAAAGATGGAAAGACCAGAGCGCTCTCTCTCGCTCGCTCTCTCTCTCTCTCTCTCTCTCTCTCTCTCTCTCTCTCTCTCTCTCAAATGTGAGAGGACACAGTGAGAGAAGGTGGCCATCTGCAAGCCAGAAACTGAGCCCTCACCAAGGAACCAAAATTTGCTAGTTTTGGGATTTCACAGCCTCCAGAACTGTGAAAAATAAACTCTTGTTGTTTAAGACACACAGTTTATGATATTTTGTATGGTAGCCTGAGCCGACTAACACTGTATATATATATGCATGTGTGTGTGTGTGTGTGTGTGTGTGTGTGTGTGTGTGTGTGTAAGTGTGTGTAATATTATGTAGCTATCAAAAAGAACACATCAATATATCTGTTGACCTGGAGAGATGACCATTATTTAAAAAATAAAATTACAGGGTGATAGTACAATCTCATTTGGAAAATCAAACCACAACAGTCTTCCCTATCTCTATGTTGTTTATAAAAGCATGAAGAAAGTGTGGTGGGAGGAGAATAGAGAGAGCAGGGTCATGGAAGAACTAAACTCCTCTTCTGTCTTTTCTGGTATTGTTTTGCTGGGTAAGCATGGTTAAATATTTAAGACAAATTTCTTGATTAACTTTTAAAACTCCAGGTGTGTGTGTAAGTGGGGATGAAGGTCCTAAGAGAGTTTCAGAGTTTATATTTTAATAATCATAAATTGTCTTGCTTGTCTCATAGTATACCTTAATACAATTTTTTTAATGACAATGTTGACCAAGGAAATGTTGCCTAAGAAAGTTGACAGTATGTGACACACACCACAACTAATAGCTCAACTGTATTCAGGTCCAGGAGGAAGGAATTAAGTAGACATAATAACATCTTCCACTCGAAGGCCTCAAGATTGAATCCATATTGCCCTTATCATCAGGTGTCATTCTTATCAGAAGTCTTCCCTGCTTAAACCTATCCTGCCCTAGTTTTGTTTTTAAAGTAGAGAACACCATATAACAAAATAAATTACAAATGCATTTAAAAATTTAAATTAAAGAGATAAACTCAAAAGATACGAATATATATCCATCAGATCTCAGGATGAGAAAGGACTTTTTTGGGTGATAATCAGAGGAAGGAAACCTAAAGGAAGGAAAAATGTCTAAATTTGACTAGACAAAAATCAAAACTGATTATTAAAAATCACAGCAAGCAAAGTAAAAAGGCAAACTGGAAAAATATGGTATAGGATTAATATTCTGATGCATATAAAGTCCACCACACACAAAAAAAGTGACAAAAGACATGAACAGGTCTTTCAGAAAAGAAGTTAAAATTGTCATTAAGCCTGAAAAAATGTTTACCTTCATTAATAACCAAAATTATGCACATTAAAAAAGTAATGCAACTGCATTTGTAATCTTCCATATGTTAGCAAAGATGAAAAACAGTGATGATACTTGGTGTTGGCCATGTGTGGGAAGCATGCGGCCTCAATCACTGTTGATAGGAATATAACTCAAATCAAGATGACCAACCCATGTCTTATACCCAGGTGGTGTGAATGTAAATTGGCATAATTGCAAATAGTTTAACGATTTGGCAATTTGCATCAAAGTCTTAGACATGTTTATATGCTTTGATATTTCTAGTACTTTGTCAAAGTAAAAATTCCTGAATGTGCACACACAGATCTTTGAAATATATTCATCTGAGCAAAGTCAGGAAGGAACACTGTCTACAACAGGGACAGCGATGGGCAGGGCAAAACGATCTGCCTGTGACAGAAACTGCCATTCTTCGCATGTGCAAATGGAGGATTTAAGGAATATTTGGTATCTGAAATATGAAGCCAACTTGGAATGGACATGCATCCAAACTGGACTAAATGTGCAAAGCCAAGGCAAGACTAAATCTGTAAAATGAATCTTTAGCAATTTGGCAGATTGGTTATTTGGAGATTGGCTTTTGGCAAATTCATCATGTGGTAAATGGCTTTCCAGCAACATGGCTGCTTCCAGCGAGGCTACCTTGAATGACTGTACCAGAACAGCCACAACAGCCACATTGATCTCTTTAAATGCAAAAATCAGTAAGGATTCATCTTTTGAAAGTAAGTTTGAGATTCTCACAATATTCCAGATTGATTTGGCAACTGAAGGAATGTCAGTTCCCTTCAATTCACAGCATTACCTATTGTTGTTCCCCTGCTTTCCTTAGCATAAACAAACTCACGTATGTGCTAGAATGTTGATTAGTTAATTTACAGAGAACTGTAAGTACTCAGAGGACTAGATAGTCACATTTGAGAATGAGTGGTTCTCTCTTGACAGCAAACCTCCGACACGAATATATGGTGGAGTACTGGACTATTCCAGCATCATTAAGAATAAGGGGATTTCACAAGAAAACAAAAATATAAAGTGAGAAGAAAAGCTGACAAACACAAGAGTAGCATGAATTGGTGTACCCTTTCAGTAAGCCTAATGTGGGTCATGCTCTAGTGAAATCAGAGAGAGGGGGTGGTAGCGTTTGGGTCAGAAATAAATGCCTGAGTAGGAGAGAGATCAAACTATCAGCTTTGACTTATTTTAAAACCATTCGTTTAGGTTCCCCCCCCCCCAGTAATAAAGCTAATAAAGGAAACTAGAAAATGAAAATAAACAGCCCATTGTGCCATCATCTAAAGCCTCTACCGTGAATAGTCTGAGGCATTTGTTTCTTTTCAGTATTGTTTTCTATACTTTTGAATAACACAATTGACAACAGAATGTATATTCAATTTCATCGCCTTTTTGTTCACTGCACATTTTAACACAAGGCATTTCCCACATCAAGAACTCCTCACAAAGATGCTTTCAAATCGCTGCTTAATACTCTCTTGTAATGCCAGATGCTATCTGATCACTTCAATATTATTGATCATTTTGATAGTTTACCATGTTTTTCTTTTGTAGTTTAAGCTGCAGTGAATATTACTGTACATAAAGACTTTTTCTATTTTAGATTTCTATAAATTCAATTACTGACCCCAAAGTATGATCTGTTTTAAGTGATTTTTTTTTCATCAGATTATAAAGGTTATGTTGTTTTGCTGTAACGCTTTGGTTCTTTGACTGCTTTTCTTTTTTTGTTTTTTTGTTTTTTGGTGTGGTTTTTTTTTTGGTGGTTTGTTTTTGTTTTTGTTTTTTTTAGCTGAGCCATCCTACCACCAGGAATCAAACCAGCTACCCTGTTGCTCAGAGCTCAGACTCTTGAGCGAGCGAGCTCTTAACCAACTGAACCACTTGGCCAGCACTCCTGATGGCTTTTCTTTAGCTTATATGTAGGGAGGCCATTTTTGAGGTTCTATAATAGGAATTGTCCATGAATACATTGGTCATAGGCTGTTGGAGTTGGAAGGGATTTGATCTTCTTATTGAGCCACTCATTTCACAGATGGGGCCACAAAGACTGAGTGAGTCTGAGTGACTAACTGCCCAGTGTCACCCAGGACGTGAGTGTCTGATGCTGTGGTAGACTGGATCTCCTGATCCCCAGACCAGGACACCCCTTATCTTCTATTGACAGGGCATGGAAGGAAATATGAATTCCCAGAGGGTACATTTGTGGATGGGAAGGACATCTCAGGCAGGGGAGAAATCACATGGAGGTGAGAGTATGAAAAGCCTGCACAGTGATATTCTGACTGATGTGGCTGAGCCCAAGGCACTAAGTGATGTTACAGTGAGAAATGAGTCTACAAAGGCAGAGAATAAATCCTGCTTTTCCTAGACCTAAAGTTCATTAATTATATAATAGTTGCTAGTATTTATATAACACTTTAGAGTTTGAAAAGTGAGTAACATACATTATCTTACTTGACCCTCACCCCAGTCCTTTACAAACGGAAAATGAGAGAATGTTCTAAATGACTTATCCAAGATTACACAACAAGCAAACAGTGAGATTGGGACTTGAAATTCAAATTCCTTTCACCAGGTATACTGTTTCCCAATCCAGAGTCAAGGTCAATGGCAAAATTAGTAAGTAATTTGCACATAGGCTATGATATCAATATTTTTTTAGCATAGTTTACAGACCTGTGATGTTGCTCTGCTCACAGTGTCAATCTTGAAATAGAAAAGTCCATTATGCTCTGCATTAAGCTTTGTGATAGAATGTTTCAAAGGCTCCACCAGGTTTGGGCTGTCGACAGGTATTTCTGAGGGGCAGCCAAGGCAACCCCTGATAGGTGGTAGTCCAAAATCTTCCACTGAAAAGAATCAGATTTTAAGTCAGCACATGCAGTGAAGGAGCAGTCTAGCCTGGTACCTCTCCCGCACATGGTACAGCATCCATTTATAGAGGGCCACATGGTGGCACAAGGCTCAGTAGTGAGTGGGTGGAGGTGGCCTGTTTGACCTCCACTTTACAGCTTCTCCTCTTTTCCTCTCCTCAGAACCAAGTATGTATAGGGAAATCTTCAATTGGAAGGTGTTAGTTAATGACTCATTCAATATGTTGCACTTTTCCTAAGTTTTTGCATTTTTGATGGAAAGTATGAAAAGTCATGTTTAACTTAAAGGAATAACTCTCTAGTGCAAAAATTTGAAGTCCTATGATTCTGGTGAGCAGGCAGCTTCAGTAATGCTTCTCATTGTGCAATGTGTGCAACTATCTTCCAAGTATGAGAAAAGCCACCTCTTGGTGTAAGAAATACTTTACCATAAACTTATGCTATCTCCCTTCCCCTGCATTATAACATGCAGGAGAAAAATGTCTTTAATTGAAAGGATTTTATTTTGAGTGATTAAAAATGAGATACAGCTTCCCCAATTTACAACACCTGACTTAAGAACATCTTGTTCAAAAGGAAGACCAGATGAACATGTACCTGGAGGCCAGCTTTGTCCAGAGAACTTAAAATTTCCCTCCTGTCACCATATTCCCTTCTGGCCACTCACAGAGCAGTTTCCACTGCATCTGCTACAGCATAGCTGGGCAGAAATGGGGTACAGTGTTCTCAGTAAGGTCTGTTGGTCATATAGGCTTTGTGGCATATCTTGGCACCCAAAGCACAATTCCTATGAAAAGACCTAGCCAGTTGTCTGGGACCAACATGCACTGTTAGAGCACAAAATGTATTATTCCTTACCTGGATCAAGTTCACACTTCTGTGAGAAGGAAGCAATTCTTTCCTGAAGATCTATGTATGCATTATCTGTACATTTACCGGTATCCTAGTTTTTAAAAAGTATGTAAGTGCATAAATTAAAAACATTTTTAAGAACTTTTAAAGTAAACAACTAGTAAAATTAAATATAGGATGCTGACTTTGCATTGAAAACCAAACCAAACATTATCCAATTGCAAAAAAGAATAAGACACAATTAGGTAACATCATCAAAAACAACCCAAACATATATAGACAAACACACAGAAACATGAAATAAGATGACAAGAAAACCTAGTATAGGAACAATAGCCATATAAGGGAATGGGTAAAATTTTCTTTTAAAAAGGCAAACTTTCAGATTAAGTTAAAAACAAAATCAATGTATTATATATTTAAGAATAATATTTTATAATAAAAAAGATAAAGAAAGATTAAATATAATGGACATGCAAAGCTATATGAGGCAAATATAAACAAAAAAGGAGCTAAAGTATTATTAGTATTGGACAAAATAAAATTCACGTAACAAACAACTCATGAAGGTAGTAAGAAAGATAATTTTATTTTTATAAAAGATACAGTCTAGAAACATGGAAACAAATACACACAGCGGAAAAAAATATATGAATAGAAAAAGACAAAAATAATTGTGGGAAAATTTAATATACAACTATAAATCTAAGACAGGCCAAATGGATAAAAAAATAAGTAAGGCTGTAGATGACTTGAGTAACATAATAAAAATTTATTTAAATAGTATTTTCATATGATACATACACATAATTTAAAATATTTTATAAGTATGATGCAAATATTTTAAATTGCTTATACACTAGGTCACAAAGAAAGGCTCAATAAACTTTGCAAATCAAAAGCAATATGTCATATTATTTGACCTTAACACCAAAAAGAAAAAAATTCCTAGAAATTAATAACATAAGTTTAAACAAATAAACAAAAAACTAACTACTTACTTAGAAATCTAAACATGCTTGCCTAAATGGTTATGGTCTTTCCTGGATAAGGAAAATATAAAAAACAAAACAAGAAAAATGAGAATTTTATATACTGTTGCCAGAGCAGCATTTAGAGTTTAACTCATGGCTTTATATACTTTCGTAATTTAAAAGGAGAGGCAAGAAACAAAACAACCCCAAATCTAGGTGTTTATCCCAAGAAGTTAGAAAAACAATATAAATAGCCTTAAGCAAGACAAAAAGAAGGAAACAATAAAGATAAAGGCAAAATCAATGAATTAGAAAACAGAAAGTACTAGCATTAATACATAAATCCAAATGATCATTATTGGGAGAAGGGAAAAAAATAAACTCACAAAAAGGCAACATAGAAAAGGATACAGAGAAGTATAAAAATATGAGAATATTATGAAGAAGAGTATACTGTTTTAAACCCCAAAGAGGTAGATACTTTCCTGAAAAATTGTAAATAACAAACCCTGACTTAAAAACAAAAACAAAATTAGAATGGACCAATGACTGAAGAAATAGAGAATGCTATCATTACACTCAACTTCCATTCCACTTCTCATCTCAAAACAACTGGATGTTTTATAGGTGAATACATTTAAAAACTAAAGAACATATATTTCCATGCTATATAAACTGTTTCTGAATATAGAAAATAGTGGCAAACTAACTCAAAAATAGAAGGCAGCAGTGGGAAAAGGGAAAGACCAAATATGAGATGGATTGACTCCATAAAAGAAGTCAGAGGCATGAATCTACAGGTGCTCAGCAGGGCTGTAGAGGTCAGGACATTACGGACATCACTCATTTAGAGAGTTGCCAAGAGTCAGAGCTGACTCAATGGCAAGTAACACACACCCAACTCATTCTATAAAACTATAATCTGTATACCAAAACCTGAAAAAATAAAATGCACACACAAACACACATAAGTATAGATGTAGAATTCATAAATAAACTAGAAACAAAATCCAAATGCATATTTAAAGAATAATTAACACTAAACAAATAGAGCTTAGTTTAAGAATCTAGAGATTACTATTAGAAAAGTTGACAAAACAACATAACAAATTGAATTAGAAATATATAATATTATGATATTTCAATACATATTCTAAAGCATTTGCTAAATTAAATTCTAACGCCAGTTTCTTATTTAAAAGCAAACCAAAACAAACCTCTTTAAAAGCAGAAATGTAAGGACACTTCTTAAACATAACAGAATGTCTCCTTGGAACCCATAGCAAATGTACATAATAAAATTCTAGAAGCTTTCCCAATAAAATCAGGAATAAAACATAAATGTGTGATCACTGTTATTTAAAAAAATATCTCTGGAAGTTTGGGTAAATTCATTGAGACACAAAACAAAAAATAAGCATCAGAAAAGAGGAGATAAAAGTGTTACTTGCATAAGATATTATTATATACCAAGAACAATCAAAAGAATCAATGGAAAGGTGTTAGAGTTAATCAAAGACTTCAGTAAACTTGCTGGATATAGGTAAATGTTTCAAAATTGATACATTTATATATAACAATAGCTTATTAAAAAGAATAACATAAGAACTAATAGCAATAACCAAAACCAAAGAAACAAAAAAACCCCTCCAAACCTAGAAATAACTCAAGTGAGCAATGGTCCAGATATACATAAACAAAAGCACATAACGTTAGAAATTTAAAATAAAATGACTAAACAGAGATGTATACCAAGTTCTTGACTGAAAAGACTAAATATAGTACATTCACCCATTATCCTCAAATTAATTTAGAAATGTAATACAATTCCAATCTATGTGACAATGTAAGTTTATCTTACAAACTTATTGTAAGGTTGGTTTTGAAAATATAAACACTAGAATAATAAATCACAAATTTAAATTTACTATGAAGCTACAGCTGTTAAAACATGGTGGTACAAACGTAGAGAGCAGATTTTTCATAAGAAACTAGTATGGGATAAAGGTCACAAATTTATGTAGAGGGGAAGAATGTTGAGATATCTGGTTATCTTTAAAAAAAATCAATTTAGGTACCTCACAAGATACATTAAAATTGATTACAGATAGGTTCGAAAGCTATATTTAAAAATTGTGACCATAGGGCTGGCTGAGTGACTCAGTTGGTTAAGAGCTCACTCAAGACTGCGAGCTCTGAGCAACAGCAGTTCGATTCCCAGCCCGAGCTGAGCTGCCGCTGAGCTGCCAACATGCGGCAGGATGGCTCAGCTAAATAAAAAAAATTAAAAAAAAAATAGTAACCGTGGACTAACTAGGAAAAAAAAAAAGGTGACTGCTGAGATAATGATGGTAGAATTCAAAAGGAAAATATTGGTAGATTTGGTCACCAACAAACAAAAACTAATATTTGTAAGTCAGAAATACCATAATGAAAACTAAAAATTAAACAACTGAAAAAAATATGACAAATCACTGATGTCTTTAATATACAAATACTATTTTCCAAACCGTTAAGATTTAGCCCAAAGAGAAATGGGCAAAGGATATAGAAGACAATTCATAAATTCAATCCATAAATTTCTAACAAACATATGAAAATGTAGTGGTTAAATAAATGCATATTAACTACATTGTTGATTGAGAAAATGAAAACTAAAAATGTTTTTATCTATGAAATTAGCTATGTTTTTAAAAATAATACTGAATTATATCAAGGGTATACATTGCTGATCGAATGTAAATCGGTGCATTTGACAACAGCCAACCTACATATCAAGAGTTTTAAGAGCTTTTATATAATTTTATACTATGTGTAAAGCTGCGACTTTATTCTGAGGAAAATATACCAAGTACAGAAATAGCTTTATTCTCAAAAACGTTTGGTGAGTTATTAATTATAATAAAAAGTGGAAACAATCTAAATGTCTAAATATTTCAGAAAATAATCTATGGTATCTTTATTAGGATATTATACAGTTATTTAAAAGCAAGTTTATCAAGGGTTTTAATGACATGAAAATTCTTAGGTGAAAATGCAGGGGTGGCCAGTTAGCTCAGTTGATTAGAGCACAGTGCTCATAACACCAAGGTTGCCAGTTCTATCCCCACATGGGCCACTGAGTTGCGCCCTCAACAACTAGATTGAAACAACTACTTGACTTTGAGCTGATGGGTTCTGGAAAAACACACTGTTCCGCAGTAAAATTTTTTAAAAAAGAAAGAAAAATAAGAAGAAAATGCAGCATGTAAAATAATTACAATTATTAAAAGACAAAAAAATCACCCCCCCCACCCCCCGAAAAAAAAGACACGAGGGAAATACACTAAAGTATTTTGGGGTATTTGGTTCAATATTATTTTTTTCTATGTTTCTACATTGCCTTGAAGTTTTCTATAAATTTCTATTTCTGATAAGAGAACACATATATAATAAATGTCATAGTTTTTAAAGATACAGGGAACACCACACTTATAATACCCTAGTTTTAGATAGGGAGAAGGATGCTGGAAGTAGCCGAGAGGATCTCAATTGTATCAACATATTTGATTCACCTGAGAAGTTTTTAGATCATTCTGACTCCAGGTTCCCACCCCACATCAATTAAATCAGAATGTCTTAGGGAATGGCCTGGGAATAGGTATTTTTTAAAGCTGGCCAACTGATTCTAATGTACGCCATGGCCTGAGAACTACTTACGAAACCTTTTTTTTTTTTAAGTTTTTTTAAAAATTCTTTTTTAAAGAAAATTTATTGGGGAACAGTGTGTTTTTCCAGGACCCATCAGCCCCAAGTAAAGTAGTTGTTTCAAGCTAGTTGTGGAGGGCACAGCTCTGCTGCCCATGTGGGAATTGAACTGGTAACCTTGGTGTTATGAGTCTGTGCCTAATCACCTGAGCTAACTGGCTGTCCCTGAAATCTCTTAAATCAGTGCTTTTTCAACCATAATGAATCAACTGAGAATCTTGTTAAGATGCAGATTTAGCAGGTGCAAGGTATAATTCAAGATTCTGCTTTTCTAACAAGCTCCCTGGTAATTGATGCTGATGTTGCTCGTCCAGGGACCAAACTTTGAATAGCAAGGCCTTAGATCTTACCAATTGTGGGCAAAATAGTTCATTTATATTTCACTTCCTTTAATTATTGTAACAAACTCTGTGAGTTAGGTGCTATTATCTTTCACTAATTTACAAATGAGGAAATGGAGGTTCAGAGAAGTTATACCAGATATTTGATTGGCTTTGTGACTCCGCTAGCCCTTGCATCTCTCTGTGTTGAAAAGAGAAAACTAAATTGAGTCCTTACAAACAGATGCAGAAGGATTAATGCTAGATAACATTTAGGCCTATATAATCTCAAATGGCTAACTAAACATAAAAAACAGAAGGTGTTAATAGATGTTTAAAAGGCCAGACTTGATTCAAACTGACAAAGTTAAATAGTAGCTAGAGCATATGTTTTTAGAGGGTTCCCCCTCTCTTTTTACTCTTTTTTTTTTATTATGGTAAAATATTTATAACATAAAATTTGTCATTTTAACCATTTTTAAGTGTATAACTCAGTGGCATTAATTACATTCACAGTGTTGTACAACCATCACCACTATCTATTTCCAATAGTTTATTACCCCAAGCCCAAATGCTGTACTCATTAAGCAATAACCCCCCATTTTCCCTCCTCCCAGCTCCTGGTAAACTCTAATCTACTTTTGTCTCTATAAATTTCCATATGTTAGATATTTCACATAAGTAGGATCATATCATATTTGTCTTTTTGTGTTTGGCTTATTTTTCTTAACGTTTTCAAGGTTTACCCATGATATAGCATGTGTCAGGACTTCATTTCTTTCAATAGCTAAAGAATATTTCATTGTTTTATATACACATGACATTTTGTTTATCCATTCATTTGTTCATGGACATTTTGGTTGTTTCCACTTTTTGGCTATTGTGAATAGTGCTTCAGTGAATACCAGCATGTAAGTATCCGTTTGAGTCTGTTTTCATTTCTTTTGGGTATATACCTAGGATTCCAAATGGTGGGTCATATGGTTTAACTTTTGGAAGAACTACCAAACTGTTTTCCACAGTGGCTGAACCATTTTACATGCCCATCAACACAAAATCCTACGAACTTTATAATTCGATTTTTGCCTACTTACACCATTGAGAAGGGACTTGCAGTCTGGAGTCAAGAACAGAAAATTCTCCTTGGAACAGTTAGTTTGCACAATTGTATAAGTAATTTCATAGTTCCATCCAGCCACCACCTGAAACAATTTTGAATTGAATATTTAAAGGGCAGTCTAAACGTTATTCACAGTGTTATGTGGACCTTAGTATACTGCCTGGCATAGCATAAATGCTCAGAGATATAAACTATTATTACTAGGCAAAAGTCATGACTGAATAAATATTAAGCACTTTATGACTCTCACACCCCTCAACACACACACACACACACACACACACACACACACACACACACACACACCTACACATCTGAAAACGAAAAGCAATATATAGATGGAGTTACTGTATTTCCTTAAGTAAGACCTAGCAATATTTCTTCTGCCAGGCAGCATAAAAGAATGTTCTACTGAATTTTGTGAACTATAAATGATGCTCTTCTAGATGGTTAAAGAAAACTTTGGAGCTAGAGTGGCCTTTAATGATAGGTTCTCAGGTTCCCAGACTGTCAGGTAATAAGACTTCTCTACTTTATCCTGGGCTAGTCTCACCCTGATTGCTGGATATGGACATAATTCAGTAGACTATGCATCTTGCATGAAAGCAAGTCGGAAGATTTATTAAAAGCTAGGAATGTTACTGACCAAAGTGAGCCGCTCATATTTGAGACTGAAATACAAGGGACCCAGTCAACTGTCAGTAAAGACTTGGTAAACTGAAGCAATGAAAAGACCAGATTTACAAGTACTTACTTTTTAAAAATGATGATATGGAAACTATAATTTAGAGGGTGCGCAGAAAGCTGTGCTAACTTTTTAAGGTACAATTTAATATCTTGGAGCCATGTTTGACTCATGATAGCTGGGGATGCTACAGTTTTCTTAAAACCTTAAGGCCAGAAGGTGTCTTTCATTTCACCATCTTTAAGAAGAACATGTAATGCCGACTCCCCATTCATTAAAACCAATCTCAAATGAAAGGATCTGATTAGACACCCATTTCCCCTTTACATATTGCAGTATCCAAACCACTTTGACTAAAGAGAAAGCTCTTTGCCTCCTGTGCTAGTCAGATGAGAACATAAAATAACTCCCTCACCACCAGTTGTGGAATCATCTGATTTCCTTCAGCCAATGTTTATTTTAGGTAATGAGACCCTAAATATAAAGATCCAACAAATTTTATCAATACTGTGTGAAATGAAAAATTAAAGAACAAACCTGTCTCTGGGCCATTTTTACTTCTTTAAGAGAAAAGAGGTGGGAATGATCAGTGTTGTTGTTAAAATGTTGAATGGCATGTTTCAGAACGGGTGCCAAATCAGGGCTGGCAGTCGATATGGGGTACACGCAGCCAAGACAGTTATACTTGGATGTCAGCACAGGGCCCTCGGCTGGACAAAGAAGGAACAGGCAAAAAGGATAGAGTTAATGAGCGAAATCCACATTCAGATACATTGCCCTGAATAAGTAAGATAATTTCAAAGGCCCTGGTAACACACACTTTCCAGTAAATCCCAGAATGCATTAGGAAAAGAGAACACAAAACTGCATTTCAGTCAGAAGAAAAAAAAAACCCCTATCATTCACTAAGGAACATCTCACACAAATGCTATTGTGCATAATTATTTTAAATTTATTTAAAAGTCATTTTAAATTATAGAAGTCATACATAGTTTATTTGTATTATAATAATAAACATCTCTTATGAATAAGTAAAACATTATAGGTATATTACTATTTATTTTTCATTGTTAATTAAAGCTCTTTGAAGCCTGGTATCAAACGTTTTATATCAATTCAATCCAACAAACATGTATTTTGCACCTGCTGAAATATGCCAGGCACTGAGCTAGACTACGTAGATATGTTAGTTTGTTAGTAATGGTCACTGCCATGTAGGAGTTTGGCAGTGTTGAGTGGGAGAGACAAAACTGTAGATGGATCACTTCAATATAATTCTGTTAAGAGCTCAGAAAGGTAGGAGCCCAGAGTGAGCTCAAGACTTTTCTGAGGAGAAGAGGCCTGAGTCGGGAAGGGTGAAGATCAGTCAAGGTCTACCAGGCAACAGAGGTATGAGGCCTGAGAAGAAGAACAAATGGTTCCCAAGAAAGCAGGATGAGTCAGGGGCAGTGGTGTGGGATGTAAAATGTATAAATGTATACACATTTATATGTATACACGTAAAATGTATACACATTTTACGAGGGCTTAACGCAGGAGGCAGGGTGGAGTGACTGAAGTCTGAACAGTTCATATAGAGAGTCTTGCCATTGAGTCTGGGATGCTCTCTGGAGGCTAAGGGTTGCTAACTGTATTACAAGGGTCACGGGTTCCTTGGTAAACCTGATGAGAGCTATGGCACCTCCCCAGGAAAATGCTCAGACTCACAATGTTGTCCACATAATTTAAGGGTTTTCATAGACCCTCTGGAGTAAATTAAGAATGATCTGCTATAAGAATGAGGAGCCATTGATGGGGTTTTAATGAAACGATGTAAACTATTAAAACAGGTGTGAGTTTGTATTAACTTACCAAGTAATGTTTGTAGCAGATAACCCTAACCTGCTGCTCAGTAGAGGCACACACCAAAGTCCTGAAGGAGTCCTAGGCCCCTTCCCAAAGGGACTCACACTGCCCAAATGTGCAAGATCCAAACAGAATCAGGAGGCCAACAGTGTTCTGCAACACTACCCCTCAGTTGTCAGCAGGTCAACACAACTCCCTTTGCAACTGTCTCTTGGCTTTCACTCCATTAAGTATGTGTGCCAGGAAAAAGATCTACTGGATGAATATTCATAACTCCCCACCAACCGCCTCCTTAATAAGGTTGTGTTGTATCAGTGTAGTGGGCAAAGTTAAAAACCTGGAGGGGAATTACACGGGAAAGGTGAGAAAATTACTTATGGGAGAACAACAACAAAAAATAGATGACACAGGAGGTGAACGGGGAGATGGAGAAAAGACGGAAGGCCGGATTGCCTGACTTTAAGGGCAACCCTGACTGGGGTAAAATGAGAGCTGGAGCGGCAGCCTTTTGAGGGTGAGAGGAGGACGGAAATATGTAAATTTAGTTTTTCTGAGTGACAGACTGATTTTCCACTTTGCCCCAACATTTCCAGAGAGGTGTTTAAAAATTAAAATAAAGATTTTTAAATTTTGAATTCTGGCCAAAAGTGTTTTCAGATGAGGGATTGTGGAACTCATAGTAATTTCTGAAGATGTGGCAAAGAGCTTTTTCTCTCACAGAATATAAGTTCTGTGTTCTGGATAATGTGAAAATTTGCTTATGAGATAGAGTTCTTAAACTGAATAATAAAAAGCCATTCCAAAAAAAAATGTAATCACTTGTAATTTCTTTTGTGTTTTGGACTTTTTTTTTTTTTAACGCAACTTCTTGTAAGAGCTGAAACTCAAGAAATAGAGTTTCTGTGGGTTCCATATAGATAACTAAGACCAGAACAGAACAACTGCTACTCTGGTGAGGTTCAAGAATGTGGCTGAAGACGCTGTTCTGGAGTCTCAGGTACTAAAACCCCATCTTGCCAAAGGCCAGTCCTGGGATGACTTTTGTGATTGACATCACCTAGATGTGCCCATTCTTCCGTACCTGGCCCCTCTGCCACAAGAAGGAAGGAGCTAATAATAGTGGTTAGATCTGTTCATAAGTTGTTCCGTACTTTCAGGGTCAACTATACCAACTCTGCTAACTCCTAGCTGTGGGATCTTGGGCATGATACTTAATTAACTGCTGTGGGCCTCAGTTTCCTCATCCATAAAATGGGGCTATTAATACTTTCCTCATAAAATTGTTGTGAGGATTAAATAAGTTAATACATGTAAAGTGATTAGAACTGTGGCTGGCAATAAGTGCTCAATAAATGCCAGCTATTATTACTTTTATCCTGATTATCATTAATACATTATTATTAGTGTACCTCTAGCCATGTCATCTGGCTTCAGTCTACAACAACCCTGTGCAGTGGGCATTACTATGATCCTCTTTTATAGATAACAAAAAGGGAAGCCAGAAAGGTGAAGAGGTGTTGAAAGATTCCAGGACAGGGCAGACCTCAAAGCTTGTGCTTTTCTCAGTCGAGGATGCTGACTACAATTGAAGGCAGGGTTCACATCTTCTCGTCCTGTTGCAGGGCCCTTGTACACACACCTGCTACAGAGCTGCTCTCAGGAAGAGGCGGGATAGTGCTGAAGGGGTGATTGGCAGTAGCCTGGCCCCAACCTCAGGACCTGCCACTCCAGTCCCTAATCCCCCACCAAGACTGCAAATGGCATCTCTACTACTGTCCTCTGAAGGGAGTTTTTTCTAGGTTGTGCTAATGGCCCCCCACAGAGACATTTCATTTCCCCCAGAGCAGTGCATTAGGATCTATCTGCTACCTGGAGTGATCTGGCAGGTCTGGGTAGCAACAGAGAATTTCACATCCCCTTTCTTCCTCACCGTTGCTGTGCATTCTCCTGTGGCCTGAAAAGAAAAACAAAAACAAAAAACAACCAAAAAAACATTTATCTTAATCTTTCAAATGGGAAGTACATCTAATACCATTGAAATATAGCTTTCCTTTTTTTAAAAAACTTGTCAAGATTTTTTCTAATACAGTTTTGAGATACAAGAATGAATGTTTTCAGAGCCTAATTATTATTATTTATAAACCACTAATATTCAGGAGATGTCAGAGGAGAGGCAGTATAAATGGTGAGGTTTTAAAGTATGAGTTCTTTGTTCGGAGTCCTGGAGATACGTTTTTTTCACCAAAATGGACACAATGCCCTAGAACCAGCTTGCTGTAAACTCCCCTCTTGACTTACCTTTCAACTTCAGGGTTCAAACTGCACACAGGATGCCAGTGTTTTGACATAAAGAGGTGAATCCATGGACTGTGGAAAGAGTGGCTTGCTTCCTGATTCCTTCTGCAGTTTCCCTTAATTAAGGCCAAACAACCAGCTATGGGGTGGCACGCATATGTGAGGCATTTGGTTAAGATAGCCATTGTTATTAAAACAAGGGTCCTGGCATAATGTATCTCCTTTTATCTTCCAACAACCAGATGAGGTCAATTTTATCTCCCTTTTACAAGGGAGTGCACTGGATCAGAGTGGTCAGCCTGTTGGACGCAGAGCAGCGTTTGTACTTAGGCCTGGGCAATTGAAACATCCACCATCTTCCCTCACCAATCCTTGATCATGGCTCAAATATTGATTTGTTGTCTCTGGGGCTTGGCCCACATGTCCCAATCGGTCATTAAAACCCACTTCTCATGAGAGAGCTTTCTTCACATTTAACGGCTGGCCTCTCTATGCACTTTCTGTCTATGCAAGAACACAGGCATCAAGCATTTGACTTTTCTATACATTTGAGGGGTTATGTGCATCTCTCACAAACAGACTCAACAATATTCATCATCCCCGGCACTAGTAAAAAAAAATCTGGCAGGCTCAAGGAGAAAACTAGAGGCCCCAAACATCAACACACTTACAGCTTTCTCAGAGTCTGTGTAGTCACAATCCTGCCAGGTTTTGCCACTTTGAACAGGGCAGTCACCCTCCTTGATTTCGTACTTGACAGAGAAAAATACATCATTGTTCTCCTGAAAAAAAATAAAAGGGGACCAAAGATATGTAGTAAGTCACCCAACTAACTCAACAGCAAACCATTTGTGTGCATACAGTTATGAATATTTGATCTTGATTTAATTCAACAAGAACAAAACTTTTATTAAAAACACTGAAAGTTGTAAATACTTGGAAGAATGTTCATAATATATTTATAAATCTATACAGAGGGTGCCAAAAAATGCATACACATTTTAAGAAAGGAAAACTGTATCGAAATTGTAATACGCAATATATACTCATAACAAAAGATGAATACGAGTCACTTTTGACTTCTGCAATTATAAGAGGTGCTCAAAGTGGTTACCATCAGCATTCAGGCACTTCTGATTACTGCGAACTACTGCTTGAGCAGAGATAACATCTCTTAAAATGTGCATACATTTTTTTGGCACCCCCAGTATTTTTTTTTCCCTCGCTATTTTTTAAATTACGAATCAGTATCCATAGTATTAGCCCATTTTTGTAGAAACCAATTTATATGTATGATTTTTAAAAGTCTGGAAAGTTATGCAATGGAGCTGTTAAAATGGTTGTCTCCCAGTGGTAGGTAGGAGTATGGTTGTCTTTCCCTTCTTTAAATCAAATTCCTGAATTACTTCAGTATTTTTTTTAACAAACATAGTATATTACTTGTACAATTATATAAAACAAACAAGAGACCTTTTTCATTTTTGAAAATAATGTTAACAGGTATCTCTGGATGATGGGATTAGTTATGGGTAAATTTAGTTGTTTTTTTATTATTTTTTTTCACCTCCATTTTTAAAAATTAGTTTCAGGTGTACAAAACAATGCACTAGTTATCCTTTTCACCCCTCACAAAGTAACAATCCCCCTCCCCCAGTATTTCTATTTTATTTGCTTTGTTTTCTATTTCTTCTAGCATGTCATGAAATAATAAATAAAACTTATAAAGTGCAAAGATGCTGAGTTAGATGAGCTTTCAGATGCAAAATCCTGGCATAATTGGAGTAGCAAGGGACTTGAGAAATGATGTTGTCCAGCTCTTCACTTTGCAGGTGAGAGAAGGGAGGCCCCAAGTAGATGGGGCATAGCTTAGGCAGCCTCCCACCTTGGAAGGGCAAAGCCAGCCAGATGCCAGGTCTCCTGACTCCTGGAGCAGCACTCTGTCAGAGCCTGTGCGGGTCAGAGTATTTGCATCTGGGAGATGATGGAGTCAAACAAGATAGTCTCCGAGGTTCCTTCCAGGTCTCAGATTTTGATAAAGCAGTAGGTGGTAGTGGTATAGGTGATGCCCACATAGAAAAGTAAAGAGTGATTCTATGGACATTTTAGAGCAAAAAAACCACATTTGTGACCGATGTCAGCCAATGAAGACAACACCATAAAATGTTGCTGAGGGCACATGACTATACTAGTTTGTGAAACAGAATGGCTCAATTTTACTTTCAGAAAAAAAGAACATGTTCACTGGGCTTTTTTCTTTAACCTCATCATGTCAAATATCTGGATTTTTTTCTCTACTGAAGTAAACAATTGCTTAACTATCATGGAGACATAGTGAAATTTACTTAAACTATTGAAAGATTTATATTTGTTGGAATCACATGCCTTGTCAGGATTTGTCTTCAACCTGAGTGCATCAATCTGTGATTAAAAAATATTAAAGACCAACTAGAACATTGCTATTACCCTTAATGCATTCAGCTATATGGATCTTATGGTAGGTAGATATTTTTGTCTAATGCAGGAAAACCATGTTAATCTCATTTCTGAATTCTCCTCTTAGATGAACCTCCTCTCCCTCTATCCTAGCTTTATTGAGGTATAATTGATGAATAAAAATTGTATATATTTAAGGTGTACAGTATGGTGATTTGATATATATATACGTTATGAAATGATTACCCCAAATAAGCTAATTAACACATCATCACCTCACATAATTACATTTTTGTGTGTGTGGTGAGAACACTTAAGATCTAGCCTTTTAGCAAATTTCAAGAATACAATACAGTATTACTAACTCTAATCAGCATGCTGTACATTAGATCCCTAGGATCTATTCATCTTATAACTAAAAGCCTGTATTGTTTGGCCAACGCCTCCTCATTTCCCTCACTCCAGCCCCTGGTAACCACCATTCTACTTTCTCCTTCTGTAAGTTTGACTTTTTAAAATGCCACATATAAGTAAGATCATACAGTATTTTTTAGATGTACCCTCTTAAGCACCTCCTCCCCATTTGAGGTCTGGAGGTCTTTATATTTTAGTCTAAGGCTGGTCACACAGTAAATCCTCTTGCTGAGGCCTGACTGCGTTCCTGGATTCTCCCACTCTGCATTATTCCTTTCAAATGACCCTCCCTACTTTTCTTTTATTTCACCCTAGGATACAACTCCTCTGATCACCCAGCAAGCTGAACTTGGTGACCCCGAGGACTAGTCATACCCTGCCTTCCAACCCCAGGCCAGAGAGTGGTGTTGGTCTTTTCTATGAGCTATAAGTAAGCTTCTACCTTTTATTACAGTTCTTTGGTGATTGGGGTGTGTGTGTGAGGCCTGGGCTCCAAGTGATCGCACAAATCCCGAATGACCTCAAGGTTAAACACAGCTCACTCACCGTCTTGGTGACTTCTGTTATGCGGTATAATACAAACTGGTTGCCACTTTGCTTTCTATCATTATACATCTTCAGAGCTGTGTCCACAACCTTAAATACATCCTCATCATTGCAGTCAATTTCTTGCGAGCTGTACTCTTGGGTTAAAGTTGGTAGCAGCCTGGAGCAAAGGAAAAAGATGGCAATTAACTTCATGATTGAAGTTTTTCTCTGGGAGCTTCACCCAGAATTGAGAGCTAATTTGGATGCTGATTTTAATTCTCTCCAGCCTTTTATCTCCTCTGTCTCTCTCTCTCTGTCTTAGCACTCCAGGGCCCTGATTGGATCCCTGCTGCCATACACTATTTGCCCTGTTTGATAAGGACAAATGACTCCGCTGGATTACCCAAGTAGATTTCATTGGAAATTGGAACATTACAACACTGAGGTTGTTGACCTGCTTGTTTGCATTTGGCAGGCATGTGGGAGCACAGAGCACATTTCCAGGTGATTGCACAACTCTGCATAGCAAATCAGAGCAGAATCTCATAAAGGAGGAGAGAAAAAAACACCAACCACCTCTGCTGCTCCCTTTCCCAAAGCCATTTATGAAGGTCATTACATGTGACAGCAATGCAACAGTGTGCAGACACTTTTCTATAAAATTTCTTTGCATGATATCTAATTGCAGAGAAGCAGGCTGCTACCAATCCTACTGCATGCCTGGGGAGCCCATGCACAGGGATATTGTGAGTGCAGGGAGTCTCACACCAGGACATTGGCACAACTAAAAATAAAAGATGGGGGGCTGGCTGAGTGGCACATTGGTTAAGAGTCAGCTTGAGGCTCCAGCTCTGAGCAGCAGGGCCCCGGTTCGGATCCCACATGGGGGCCAGTGATGCTGCGCCCTCTACAGCTGAGATGGTGAACAGTGACTCAACCTGGAGCTGGTCTGCTGTGGGTCTCCGGTGATGGCGTGGGCTGCAGTGGGGCTGGCTGGCAGTGGGCGTGAGCTTTCGTGAGCCGCTGTGAGCAGCCACCCAATGGCCGGTGAGCGGCTGCCTCACCTGGGAAGAGCGCAATGATAATACCAACATGGGCCAGTGAAGCGACGTCCTCCACAACTAGACTGAAGAACAACAAAAACAAAAGGACAGCAACTTGGCTGTTCCCCTCCCCCAATTCCCCAATAAAACCTATAAAAATAAAAAATAAAATAAAATATGGGCATGCTATTTGGTTTCTGGCCAACCCAGTTCCTCTCCACTCGATTGCATTAGTTGTAGAAAGGAAAATGCTCCCCATGGTGGAGGAGACAAGGGAGAAGCATAAGAAGGGACGGGTTGAGTGAAGCTCTGCCTACTCTGTCCTTGCTTCTTATTTCTGGTGTTGTGGATATGGGGCCTTTCATTCACTAAGCCCAAGTGATCTTTCTGATAAAGTTAGACTATTCGGGGAGAGAAGATCTAAGGGTTAAAGATATGGGCGAGCCCTTAGTAGATGTTTGCCCCCTAGTCTTACCCTCTTCATCCCCAAAAGATGTTTGACTCCTTGGTTGTTGTTGAGAGGGTCTCTAGCTTGGCAATTTAGTCTCTCTAAGAGCCCCTGGAAAAGAGGGGTCAGTGTGGGCTGAATGGTGGCCTTGTTGCTCTCTGAGTGGCAGGAACAAGAACTTGGCAGCAAGTCTAATGCTGATTCTAATCTAGCTCTGCTACTTAATTGCTACGTGACACTGAGCAAGTCAGGGTCATATAGCCTTTCTGAGCCTCAGTTTCCTCATCTGGAAAAGTAAAAAAAAAATCGTACTATCTTAATGAGGTTTTTTTGAGGAGTAAATGAGATAATATAGGTGCAGAGCCTGGTAATTAGATCCTATAAATTATATCTAATATTAGAGAGAGAGGGTTAAGGATCCCTGACTTACTGAAGCAGTTTCAGGTGCATGATGATGGCAGAAGGTCGATTCTAATGTATTTGTGTGCATGTGTGTGTGTGTGTGTATGTGTATGTGGGTGTGGTGGGGGGGGATGTAGGAAAGAAAACTAAGGTGAAAGAGACCTAGGTAAGTTCTTAGGCTGGGAAGAAAGAGGGGCCTGTAATGATGGAGAAGCTGGAGGTGGGACAGACAGTGAGGCGGTCACTGATGGTGCACGGTCCAGGAGGAGTAGAAAGGAGCACAAGGCTGATCACAGTGGGGGTTTCAAGTGAAGGCTCAGGAGCAGGATGTGGCAGTGTATACAGGCAGTATAATAAACAGGAAAGAATGTGTTTTCGAAGGAGGCTGATGTGAGTTCTAATCCCAGCCCCACAACCCACTGACTGTAACAAACATGAAACATTCATACAGTTTTTAGCTATCGTATGACAAAAAAAAATCTAGAAAAGGGGCAATCAATGACATATTTCCTAAACCTCCAGCACAATGTAAACTCCCTAGAGTAGGGATTGTTTCTTAGCCCATTATCCACCTGCAGCAACTGCGTTTGTACATTATAAATGCATTTAATTGAAATGAATTGAGAACCTTCAATCCTATGTGTTCCAGGTAATATTTTCAGTAACTCAAGCAATGTTTGTGAAAGTATCAATTAGAAAACACTACTCAAATGCTTCTGTAAGTTATTAAGCTCTGTAATTTTTTGGTCTTCCTGGATTTCGCCTTTTCTCTGCTTTTTATCAAAGCAGCCAACCCAGTGTTCACCCCTCCATGAAGGAACACGATTCCGCAGGGCTGACATTCAGCAGGTGCCACCCTGGTTGTTCATGGCTGGCCACCGTCCTGACTGATGGCTGTATCTGCTCTGGCTGGTCGGTGCTTGTGCCATATTGGTCATTAAACATTTTGGGCATTGTCATGTGGCTCCAAGAAATGAAGTCTAGCTGTACTCCAAGGAGGAAAGGGAGTCACCATCACCATTTTTAGAGAAGGAAGATGAGGCCCAAAGAAGTTTCATTACTTTCTTAGGATCTCATAGACAGTAAATTGTAGCATAGCCAAAATATCTGGCTTTAGAGGATTGTCATGGTTTAGCAATGAGAAGCTGAGATTAGAATCCACATTAGCCTCCTCCAAAGTCACATTTTTTCCTGTTTGTTATACTGCCTGTATACACTGCCAAGTCCTGTTTTCCTCCAGTTTTATTGAGAAGTAATTCTCATACATCACTGTATAAGTTTAAGATGTACAGCATGATGCTTTGATTTATATATTTTGTGAAATGATTACCACACTAGGTTCAGTTAATGTTTAATTGTCTCATAGATAAAAGAAAAAAGAAAAAAACTTTTTCTTTGTGATGAGAACTCATAGGATCTACTTACTCTCTAACAACTTTCCTGTATAGTATACAGTGATATTAACGATAGTCACCATGTTGCACATTACATCCCTAGTACTTACTTATCTTAAAACTGAAAGTTTGTATCTTTGGATCACCTTCCTCCAAGCCCTGCTTCTGTGTCTTCACTGGAAAGCCCCACCGTGATCAGCCTTGTGCTCCTTTCTGCTCCTCCTGGACCGTGCACCGTCGGTCACTGCCTCACTGTCCCACCTCCAGCTTCTCCATCATTACAGGCCCCTCTTGCTTCCCAGCCTAAGAACTTACCCAAGTCTCTTTCACCCTTGTTTTTTTTCTTACTCACCCCCTCCCCCCATTAGAATCTACCGCTGCCATCACCACACACCTGAAACTGCTTCAGTAAGTCAGGGAGCGAGAATCTAAAGTCTTATTAGCTTGTGTCTAAATGCTTGAGTCTGATTTGGGAAGAAGGGAAAAGAAAGAGGATTCAAGTGTGGAAAAAGAATCCGCTGGCACCAAAGATGAATAATGACAACTTTCTGAGACTAGAGAGCCCCTAGGCTGGGAGATGATATGAGAAGAACAGAGGAGTCTGTGGGTCTGGAAGCAGAGGACACCTTTGCCCTGCTTTCTGGACATATAGCCTGGAAGGCAGCAAGATCCCAGGGAGAGAACAGCTATGGTATCTCTTGGCAGCCATGTCCATCAGTAGTCTTACAGAGACTCCTATATCCCCAGTTTGATATAGAAGTAGCAGATAAGCTAGACTCAAAGAGTGATGTGAACAGGGTAGTAAACATTTCTCAGATCTGGTGGATTGGTGATGAAGAGTCAGACTTCCTTCTCATGTCCACCACCCAAACACCTTGGCATTATGTAAGAGTCTCGGACTGTGGCACAACTTTGTGTGGAGAGCAGCAGGCTGGAGGAACTCCAAGAAAGACTGAGGCTAAGTTTCCTATTAGCCCAGTAGGATGGCAACCTGAAATAGGAATTAATGTGTTCTAAAAATAAAGTGATATTTCTGGTGCATCTGAATTTATGGTTTATTTCTGTAAACTTCTTTGCAAATTATAGCCCAAACTTCTTTTGCTTCATAATTAAATTTAGAACTTATTTTTTTTCCTGAAAATATATTTAGAGGACTACAAATAAGAAATAGGAGAGAATTTACATCACTTTTATAAGAATAATCCTTTACATGATAATACATATCTTCTTGGTATGCCCAGCTACAGCATAAGTACTAACGGAGGAAAGAGGCTAGAATTAAAGGAGTTAAGTCCAGGAAATAAAGAAATTCCAAGGATCAGAGATTTGCCTCAAGTGGTATATTGGTCAGTGGGAGAATTAACTTCCGACTTGTGTGACTAAGATCTCTCCTGGCTCTTCTCATGTCATCTTCTCCGCCACCCACAGTTTGTCCTAACCTTAATATGAACGTAAGGTTAAAACAACTTGTACTTTTGCATTTGTCATTAATAAAATAGCCATTTTATTAATGGTTCTAATTTAGAACATTATTCATTTTTCAAGTAACTCAGATTTTTCTTTTGGAAATGTATATGCAAAAAACTTCAAGATTTGTGAAAATTCACTCTTGAACGTCCCTGGACATGATTCAGAGGCTGATTGAGGGAAGGGCTGAATTTCTGGCTTTAGAGGATTATTGTGGTTTGGCAATGACAAGATGGGAAAATGGGCTTCAGGAAGAGGAAGAACTTCACCTTTCTTTAGTGGAGGGAGTCGGTAAACATATCCAATTTGTCTCCATTTGAAGGGAAAGTGTCTTTTACCTGAACCTCTTTCTTCTGAGTGCCTTGGTGGTGGGCCATGGCCCCAGCGATGGTGGTCTTGGGAATCTTGGCTATGGGGTGGTGGGTCACAGGGTCCCTGGTCATGGAAATCATGGCCATGGAGATGGTGTCTATGGGGATGGTGTCCATGGGGATGGTGCTCATGAGGACTGTGTCCATGGGGATGATGCTCATGAGGATTATGTCCATGGGGATGATGCTCATGAGGTCTGTGTCCATGGGGATGATGCTCATGAGGTCTGTGTCCATGGGGATGATGCTCATGAGGTCTATGTCCATGGGGATGATGCTCACTGGAACTATGATTATGAAGGGGTGCATGAGTGCAATTGGTACCAAAGTGGAGGTGGTGACATCTTGAAGGGGACAATAGTGGAGGAGCTCCTGATTGAAATTGTGGTTTGCCTGAGTGATTTTTGTCTTCTAGAGGAGGTGGGCATCCAAGTTTATGTGGCTTGTGAGGATGGTGGTAATCTCTGGATCTACTGGGCTTAAATGGGGGCTTGCCAGCAGGAGAATGCTCATGCCCACCAGAGTGGAGTAGATGGCCCAGATGCGGTCGTACATCACTGATGTTTCTGTATTCCTGGTGAAGGATATAGAAAAGTGAATACCATCATGTAACAAAAAGGAAAAGTTAGATGTTTAACTTGATTTAGACTAACGGCCCTCCTACTTTTGCATTCTACAAATCAATTTAATAAGTAGAACACCAAAAGAGCATTCTCAAATTTTTATCTAGCCAAGTTGACATTTAAAATACAAACAAAAACTATCATCTACCACCATCATTGTTTCACAAATAGGAGTCATATTTTGATAACACAAGAATCAGAAAGATAATCTCAGAGTAAAGGATGGTCCTTTAAATGAAAAAATGTTATAGCATGAACAAATTTTCATATTATTTTTATTTTTCTCATTTCAACATAAAGCGGTGAAATTATATTATAGGAGGATACTCATCAGTAGACCAATATTTGGAAAACTGGTGCCTTATCATTTAGATTCTCAATAGAGTTCTGAGGCTCTATGGTATAAGCATCTTCTTCCACCTTAAGGATGAGCACCTCACCTCTTCCCTCTCCTTGTTCAGATTTTAATTTTATTGAAAAATCTTTGCAGCCATGTTCATTGTGACAAACCTGCTCCCTCTTTTTGGGGGGTTTGGCACGTGGATGTTTGGATTATTTTCAGGTTTACTTTTTTTATAATGAAAGATACTGTGAAGAATATCTGCGTGTAGAACAAGGGTTTCTACACAGAGATATTCTTGTACTGTTTTACACCTTATTTTATATACATTTATATAATAAATTTGAGGCGAATTTATTCCATTTAGATTCTAGGCCTAATACTAAAACTAGGAATTATTAAGTCAGCACTGGAGTCCTGACTACGAGGGTCATTTTTAAATTCCTTAAAGGTTGATTAAGTTGGTCATGATTTTACTTTTCTGACAGGTCTTATCCCTTCCCAATTCTTAGAAAAAATTTCACACTTTTTGTGTCATACCAGCATTTGCGCTCCTTTCCTCAGGGACTATTCTCTGTATTTCTCCCGCATCCCCACCCCACCCCACCTCTCTCATCATCTCATCTCATCTCATCTCATCTCATCTCATCTCATCTCATCTCATCTCATCTCATCTCATCTCATCTCATCTCATCTCATCTCATCTCATC